CATAACGATAAGTATTGTTTTTCCCAATACTTAAGGTGTGTGTCAAGAGGTCCATGTGAGAATCGAAGGTAGTATACAAAAAGGTGAAGAAATATAGGGGAGATTTTCGAAATAAAATCATGGAAGAGAGAAATTGCTGAGAAAAAGCTCATAGGGAGAAAAGCAACGAAGCAAGGGAATAGATAAAATGTTCAAAAAAGCCGCCGCGAAAGAGTGGTCCGTCCAACATGAAGAAAATGGAATAGCGCATCAAAGGAAACGCGAATAGCTACATCATGTTAGTATACGTTGCCCATTACTACGTCGTATAACATGAATTAACTCGCCCTGTTCGGATTTTTCGATAAGTGTTCCATCAGCTATAGGAAGAAACGTACCTGTCTGCATTCCGACAGCATGTGCTGCATACCTCTTACAACGCTTTCCGGCTTCATTCCCAGCTTTATCATTGCGGCCCAAACACGAGGCATTTTCACGTAGAAGAACATTTCAATGGAAGACTTACAATTGTCACGGGTCTCTTGCTCTTCCAACTTAAATGTTCTGTTCAACATGCAAGGCAGTATACAAGATGCATAAAATGAACAAAAATATATCACTATCGTGAAGGTACGACATACCAGTATCATGAAGGAAGCATGTAACATATCAGATACAATCTCGTGATGACTTATAGCGTTAATTTGACCAAAAAGAAGCATAGTGTCGGCTACCTGAATATTGTGCATAATCAAAAAGGAGGCAGATTATTTAGCTGAGTGAGACGATACCTCTTCAACTGCAGCCAAAACTCGAAAGCAAGAAAACACTGCAGTGAGCGATCGAATCCCTGATCGTCGCTGTAAAGGAAATGAATAAAATCACGCTAGTGGAAATGAGGAAAAATAAAATACTCACGAAATTATATTTAACTGTAAGCTCAGAGCTCTCAAACTTGGGGGGATCGAATATCCTGAAACATAGGAAAAAAGTTCTGCACGTCACAGCAAAGGTTCAGCCTCGAAAATATGTGATCCAATCCTGGTAAACTATTCCACCAGCACGCACATATTACTCCGCTACAGCCCAAAATTGAACCGCCATTGGCGATGACTCTCACTGTAGATGGGATGCCTTAGTGACAATAAAGTGAGATGTATTTGCAGCGCCTTGTTCACAAAGTTCACAGAGTGAAAGGGATATGGGGCAAGATTTCAGCATGAAATTAAGCGCATCCACTACTACCCTTCCCCGTTTGAGATGAGACATGGAGGCTTCCATCAATTTCGTGACCTGGATTCAGCTTACTCGGAACAATGCAAAGATACTACTCACGATGTGAAAACTCAAGTAGCAAGGTGCACAAGGTTGAGTAGATCAAGTAACACGCTAAGATAGTAAAATTCTTTCAGGTTCTTAAAAGTGATACTTGCTAAAAAAAAAGGTGGCTTAAATATAGTACAAATCGTGAAAAATAAAACGGACAGAAATGCAAATATTCACAAATAGCTCTAAATATAAGGCACATGGTTAGAAATGTGTGCTGCGGCGTCCGATCGGGTCTCAGGCCTTCAACTTGGAAACCCCAGCGCCTACTTTCAAGGTTCGTGAGAGCCGTGCGTACTGTGTACTCTATAAATGTGGAAGTAGAGTGACAACGGATGATGTTTGTTTGTCTAACACACGCCCAGACTTAGAACAAGTTGAAGAAAAAGAGGAACTATTGCACTATTGCTACCCCCAGCACCTCAGTAGGGGTGAGAAGTGTCCAAAAATTTTCACTTACACCTCTCCCAGGTGTTATCGAGCGTCACGAACAGACAGCCATTTTTGGCGCTGGCGCCAAATTGGCGCCATTTGGCGCCAGGTGGCGCCACGACTGATTCTCCACCAAATTCGCTGTAAACTTCTGTATAGGGGTTATTTGGGGCCCTGATTACGAATATGACATTCGTTTTTGTTGTGGCGCTATTCGGCGCCTATTTCCTGCCCGTCTATGCCCTCTCACTAGTTAGATCGCAATCTAACTAGTGAGAGGGCAGACTAGGCATTTCGAGAGTGAAAGGCGCCGAAGTGAGTAGGCCAAGAGCCAGTAAGCACCCGCATCTCACATGCTTCAACCTTTGCAGCTTTGCACAGTGTTTATACCTTCTGAAGTTTCACCCTTTCCCCTAATCTTATCGTTAATGCTAGGCGCTGTAAGTGGGAACTTACCAGGGAAGTCTTCCAGGACATGTAGCCTTTTTCAAAACGGTTTGCTTGCATGTTATAGGGCACGTGCGTGGAGCATAAACTGATGATCATTTTTTCTGAGCGGCCCTGGGATTGCCAGAAAAAGAGCAAATTTTCTTAAGAAGTGAAAATTTTTCCATTTTTATAAACTCTACAGCATTTGTAGAGTTGAATAGTTGCATTTTAAAAGTACCCGTTCACTGAATAAGTTTAGACATGTATGAGCCCAAGAATGTGGAAATCAGAGAAATGGGCACAACTCTAATCGCTATACT